ACCTGTAGTTCCTAAAGTACTTCGTTAGGTATGGTATTCAATATAGAGATTGTCCTCCTTCTCTGGTTCCTAAAGTACTTCGTTAGCTTTTATAGCATGTTGTTGATGCGGGGAGGTACCATCTGGAATAAAGTCAGATCAAAGACAGCGATCTATTGAAGCTGTTCACAATCTAGTGCGTCTTCTAGTTATTTATGAGATCCGCCGGCTTCAATCTTGGTTTGATGGTACGCGTTGATTTCACCCGATACAAGAGGTGGTTTTGAGTATATAAATATTGGGATTTCGCAGGCGAAGGCGAGATTATTGAATTTCCTTACCAAATATTGTTCCTCGTAGTGAAGGCTGTAACACAGAGTCGCGCCGGTCACGTTGGAGATTGACACGCCAGAGCTCATATAGCACTGTAATCTTAACTATGTTACTGCCTTCTTAGCTCAGTGGTAGAGCGTTGCACTCGTATTTACGAACATTGATTATGCAAAGGCCGCTAGTTCAAGTCTGGCAGGAGGCATTTCTGTTTTGCACCCCTTTTTTTTCTTAGCTCTAACTCAAATTTGTTGTCTTCCTTCTCATCTCCAACTTTTTCCGCGAGTGAAGTGTTGATAAAGTGTTGATAATTCTCGAGCATTGAAAGGAAGGTGGTCGTGGCTGAACTCTCTGCTACGTTTGCTATCTCAAAGTTCGGGTTGTACTTTTGTGCCTACTCCCATCAAATCTGACAACAGGTTAAAACCCCAGAAATTGCTCGGGAGTATGACTAGCAATTGATGAATCTTGCGTGTATACAAGTTAACCCCAAGAGAAATAATGAGCGCCATAGAACCTCCGTGTATATTACTGTCCATTGCCCAAATTCCCGTATATTCCACTCACTCGATGTCGATGAAGTCATATTGTAGCCTTCTTTGTTATAGGTCTCCCATAGTTGATATCTCCCTTCTCCCGACCCTGCTTGGCGAAGGAGAACCACTCAGGAGGTTCGAGGCACTATTATCGCGAACAAGACTCGATCCGTAACTTTGCATGCCAGACTTGACGATTACATCGGAAGCGATGTCTCTACCATACTGTTCCGCGATTTCGCTAATAGAGAAATTGGTTAAATATTCAGAAGGAACGCTAGTAAATCAATGCTCACTTTGTGTAATTGTCCACTATCACCTTCATCGCGTTCGAGTTCAACTGGTATCTCTTTGGCATCATTCCCTTCCCAAACCTATACGTGACGTGATTGGAGCACAACAGTCCCGCGATGATAGCACCGAGCTGCAGAGGCACAAGCCCGAATGAGATCGTGTACCACTTTTCCAGTATATGCCTCTGCAGATTCAGGTAAGCTAGTTTACATCCTGGAAGTATTGATCGAGCATAACATGTCTGTGAAATGGTGGCCTCGACAAAAGGCGAAAACCATCCACAACATTGTAGTCGGTTTTGGATCCGTAATCGGCCTTCTGCTCCAAGTGCTCGGGACCACTGCGCGTTGAGTTTGCCTTCAAGGTTGAAGGTCCGTTTTTTGTACGTGAGATAACCAGGGACGACTAGGAACGCGAAGGTTATCCAGAGAAAGAACGTGTAGACCGCCAGGAAACCGCGATTGTTCAGCAGGATACCTGCCCAACCAATGACAGCGGTCAACAGTCCGAATGTCGCGGCGAGAGTGCTAAAAATGAGCTCTGTACGATTTCCTACTCGGATAACGTCGGCGTTTTGGAAAACGTCGAACCATGTGAGAAGGCAGAGTATTAGGGTTATTAGAGTGTACACTGAAAAAACTGCGTTGGACACAAAGAGAATGATTTTGAACGTGTTCCAACGAAGTTTCGTGTGTTGTTTTGTTCTTTTTAAAAATTTGTGATGAATTCGCCAGGATTTGGATACGTTGACGCCGTCATAGTCTTCATCATTCTCCCCAGGTATCCTGGCCTCGCCCGTTCTGAACGCGTCAATACCTCCACCACGAGGTATACCCATGGCTCCAACGCCACTCATAGCATTCTTTGGTCTCCGTCGCCGCGGCCTAGAAGGTTCAAGCAATGCCCCAGAAAATTTTGATGGGACATAGTTAACGGTGAGGGATATTAAATCGGTGCTACTGCCTTCAGCAGATGCAGATTGCGAAGACATCGCTCTCGCCGAAGAGCTGGTCGAGTTGAAGTGTGGTTCAAGTGAATGGTGCAGAAGGAGGATGAAACTGGTTTATGCGGAATGGGCAATGAATTGGGCTGAAGGTGTACGTCTCGATGCGCGAGATTTGCTGCATGGATATCGACGATGAATCTACGAAAAAAAGAAGAAAAATAACTTACATGTTCAGCGAACCGCACGATATGGTGCAAGAATGGCGAACAAGGGAGTGATCCGCGTTTGTACGATAGTCGCAGTTACTTGCCAGATATTCTGATTTGAGTGAGAGAGAGAGAGGAATACAAAAAGCAGAAAAACAGGAACGAAAAGCAGCCAAGATATCTTGGACCTTGCTGCGGATAAATGCGAGGTAGTGGCAGTCATTTTGAGTTTTGAAGCCAAGACTCGGATGACGTATGAAGCTTCTGGCTTCTGGCTACACCGTTGTACTTGTTATTAGATAATAGAGCCTCAATCTTGTGCCCATTGAACGAGAATTTGGATTTTGTATTTTGGAAATCAACAGTTTGCCGACTTGGTCATCCTGGGTTGCTGAGAATATATAACGATATATCGAACAAAAAGATTCAAGTCGACCCAATTCCCTCAGAGTTTCCTCGTAAGGAATTGGAACATCTTTTGCCGAACCGCCTCGAAGCTGATAAATGACGCCAAGTCTTGGCGTTATGAGGCAAATTGAGGGAGACAATTTTGTGGATTCCGAAGCTTCAAAGGCGTTTGGGTTTTGACTCGGAAGACGAGGATGAAGTAGAAAGGCTTGTTCTCTCTGGAATTCGCCGTTACTTTTTATATCTATATTGAACGGATAATTAAAAGTACCAATCGGGGCAACCACTGAATTCTCGGCTGTCGAGTTAGGCGGCAATGCAGAAACTCTATATAAATATTATTAAAAAGCCTACACATAGACCGTCGGTAGTGTATTACATATCTATTAAGTATGTTCTATTGAACACACATCCAACTATGTACCGTTACGATAATCGCGATACGCAGTCATGTAAAAAATGACGGTCCAATACTATAGACAGTGACCTTCATGTTCTCTGAGTCTGAACGAGTTCCCGTATGAGTCCTCGAGAATTTCATGACGTACGACTCGGGATACTGCCTCGAAGCCACGACTACTACTAATCAGATTCCTCGTTGCCGTGCTATTTGTTGGTTGCGCCACTTTGCGCCATCGACATCGTTGTCCCTATTCCTGATACTAAAGCCGGATTCGTGTTGAACATCAGAGCAGAGTGGGGATTGAATTCGTGTTCGTCGATACTAGTATCGGTATGCAGAACGCCTTTGGAGACATTCTCGTGAAGGTTCAGTATCAGTCGGAGAACCATTGTCGCGGATAAGCTGGATTCAACGAAAGGTGTCATTGTACTGAAGCTCATATATGTATGAACAATGTGGCACTTGTACTTACTCTCTTGTGAATGTGGTCATGCTTGATGACTATCGAGCGAATCAACAGATAAAATTCGGAGTTTAGTAAGAATGCGTACTCTTGTTGCCTGCTCAGAATGCCAAGAATGAAAATAGTGGTGGTTATTGAGAGGAACTTGACTCACGCATAGAACAATATTAGTAAAATGTACGAAGCAAATAACCCTGCATAGGTAGTCAATCTGAAGTGTTTGGTGAAACTCGGTAGTTTTCACATACCCATAATAGACCAAGCCTGAAGAAGTAGAATCAGGAATTAAGATTGGAACAAAGTTCAGAGGAATGGTAATTATATGGCAACATTATACGCACCATCTCGAACCATCAAGCTCATCAACGGAACCTGTATCTCCATCTCATAATAGGTTTTTCTAGTTCGAAACGATATTCGTGCAATGAGGCAAAAAATCAGAGTGTCAAATGCCAAGACACAGCCCCATGTTATTGCAAGATCTATCATTCACATTGAGTGCTCAGTGGGTGATAGATTGGTTAAGTTTTGAATATAAAACTCACAAGTTGCTCTACGAAGAAAATAAAATGAGGTCTTCAATCTGAACCGCAGAAATTCTGTGACCCACTTTTTCTCCGGCAAAAAACGATCACAAACCAAGCCTTCGAGCAGCACTGTGCCCAGACTACTTACAACGACGGACCACTGCAATTCAATGTCAGTCAGACAAGCACAGATTTGGAGTGATCACATACCACAGCTACGGGCAGGAGACAACCAAATGTGATACAGAGGGTCCACAAGATATACCGCCTGCATTCGTACATTGCGTACACTCGCATGGCGAGAAGAACTTTCGGAGTGGTATTCCATATAAGTATGTTAATAAGAGAGACAAGTCATAATGGTCGAACATACTGGGAACCATAATCTCCACCACCGATGCATAAACATTGAGATACATCTGATAACGGCTGCACCTATAATGGTGGGCATTCGTTTAACACTAAATTGCAGCAGAGAAAGATGAGCAGGAGCGATTCACGTCTGCTCATGATGTCCGATAATTGTACGGGAGGAGAAAAATCACGGGAGAGGTAGAATCAGATTGACTGTGAAAGCAAATTAGGAAGGAAGAACTCACATCGAAAGAAGGCATCGTATAGAACCTGAACACCAGAACCGAAATTTCCCCACATGACACCAGATATCTAAGGATAAAGTACCAAATTGCGCTCCTGCGTTTAGGTTGAGCCCATATGTGCTGAACCTCTAGATCTACGAACGTGTCAGGTTAGTATGGGTGATATGGATATGACGAAACATTCAGTGCCCACCTAGAGTAAGGAGATGGTCGTATAGCAGGGCAACTGAAAGGACCGTTTGTCATTCCTTGATCGAAGTGGATTTAAGGTTGCAGACCTGGAGGACATATCATGGCTGCCGCTATCCACCTATGAAGAAGATGATTGTAAGCAAGAGCGGCTGGCTTGTGGGCTTCCAACACTCACCATACTGAAACAGCCATTATCTGTGGTGAACCAAGTCTTGTGCTAAGTATGGATAAAACACAGGATGTGATGACTGGGAAGATATGGGCGCACCATACAAGGTTTATAAGACAAACCATTTCCATCATTTTGACGAAATGACTCCACAGCATCAAGGCAGTATTTGTGATGTGAACAGATGGTAGGTTTACGCAAAAAGCTTGAGGCGGATACATATCGCGTTTCGAAATCATGTTGAATATCACAGGAACATGAGAAGCTTCCTCCGATGTTCCGAACTGTTAGTTACATGGATATGATGGAATTACCAGCCACTGACTGGTAAGCGATCCTCCAAGCTAGCAAATTGAACTTGCGAGACATGGGGACGGTATGTTATGAGTTGAGTTTGGTGTATTTAATATTAGTAAGTATCGGTGATTCGATGTTCGCTGTAAATTTAGTATGTATTGGTAA